TGCGGCTCACAGCAGGGGGGGGGGGGGGGGGGGGAGTGGAAATAAACTACTCCACATGCTCATGTCCCATGTGAATATTCAAGAACTTTGCAGCCAACTTCCTTATTTTCATTGTTCAAACTTGAGAAAATGTGACAAAAGCTTAACTAACAAAAGTAAAGACAAATCAATAACATCTTGATAGTACATTTTTAAACTAATACAGAATTGTTTCTGTATGTTAGAGCAGCAGTATCCACTTCAGCATGACAAATTCACTCCCTCTATCATTAAGTTTGCCAGAATTCACGGAGCAGCAAACAGTGCTCCTCATTGATTTTATACACAGTAGCATGTTTCTGTGCCTCACCTTCATGTTCAGCTTACTTAATACTTTAGCTCTAGAGAAAATTCCAAAGGGGATTTTATTGATGCGGTTGTGTTCCATATTGAGAGAGTAGATTGTGGAGAACTGGGACGGGCCACCCACGGGATAGGACTGGAAGCAGTTCCTGGCCAGTGTTAAACTAGTCAGTTTGACAAGGCTGGATAAAAGACCCTGTAGAGAGAAGAAAACCACCCAGGAACTTAGGACAGATTTATTTGAATACATCTCTTTTCCTCATGGGTCTAATTAGAAATGTTTTTCCCCCTCAAGTCCATCCCCTAAAGAAGCGTTGCAACACACAAACCAGTGTTAAATTTGATAAAACTTCCATCAGCAACAATCTCTGCTCACGATCTTCAGCCTTTACCTTATTTCCCCCTTTCTCCTTACATACTGACAGATATAAAAAAAGCAAACATATCACATTTAAAAGCACAAGTTTAGGAGGTTTTGTAACTCTTTTGTCCTCTGAAAGGATTTTTTTTAATAACACTTTGGACATTAATAATACATCTTGGGCAGCTCTGAAGAGCACCGGGGCAGCGGTTGGCAGGCGCAATCAGCAGCGTGTCCATCCTGAACAGCGGTCCTGGCTTCGGCCAATGCCACCCAACTACTGCTCACTCAATTTTGATGCCTGCTCACAGTTCCAAAGAAGTATCAACTGTATGCACCATTTTTCAAACAAGCATTTGATACTTCCAGTACAAATCTTTGTTAATTTAACAAAAATCCATATTGTGATCACATCTGGTAGAAGTTTCCTCTTAGGCTGTAACAGTTTCAGATAATCAGACAGGCCAGAGAAAAAGAATGGGAAGGGAAGGGTTTGGAAATCCCAGGTTTTTTTCCTGTTTTCAAAATATTCCTAAATAGTTACTACTCCACTTTTTTTTTTCTTTCTTTCTTTTTTCTCTTAAGAATTGAAAAGCAAGAAGCTTGGAGTTAAACTGGATAGCAATGGCTGTCCGTTGAATCCAGAGTCTCATTTCACTTTGCAATTTAATTAGATTCTGAAATCTCAGCAGCGCAGATCTCAGAGTTTATCTGTTAGTTACGTGCCAAGCATGTTGCTGGAACTGTGGGGATGAATAATGAGATTTAAATTACTGCTGAAGTGTCACCTTTGCTTATTACTATGCCAACTTGAATTCAGCCCTATTTGCTTAAGTATTACAGAAATTGGAGATTTATGCATAGCATTACATACCATAAATAATGCAACATCTGCAATCAGGAATGAGTGATAACAAGATAATGATTCCAACCATATTCCTAATGTCAGTATTTTGGGATTGCAACTGCAGTGCTATATTCACTGTAAAAGGTTTAAGAACATGGCTTTGCTGTTCCACCAGGAAAACTCTGGCTACTTTTCTAAATAGTTTATTAACATTATTGTAAATAAAACAGGAGTAAATAGGGACTTGTCTACATGTCATGGCTAAAACTTTAAGCACTGAAATACAATTTTGGGGGCATCTCAGCAAATATCAGTGAAGCAATTTTCCCCCTAAAGATAAAATAATGGATCTTCAAATCAGTATTAATCTAACCTAATCATTAACTAGTATAATTTTTGATTAGGAAATACTGCTTCTAGCTATACTTTAACAGACAATCTGTCCTAGGGTTAGGGAGTCCCTGAGCTCTGTTACAAACACACTTTATTGCTTCAAATGGATCTTGGCATTTCAAAAAGCCATTTTTAAAGTCTGCTTCCATACAAAAAATATTAAAAATATGTTAGCTAATACACTCTAATAGCCTAGAGTAATTAAACACATTTGAAGGGAAGCAAGAGAGCTTTGGCAGTACAAAGAGAACAATGCTCTTACATCTGAGAGCTGTGGCAGTGCTGCCTTCTCCCAGCCCATCCTTTTAAGATAAAATATTTATTAGGCATTGTGTCAGCAGCTTCAGCTATGTTTTGAAATTCAAAAGTTTCTTCTACAAAGACAGTTCTTTGTATTATAGCACAGAATGTTTTACTTTAAACAGATTACAGTATAAACTATACACTTCTGCAAGGTAGCAGCTTAAGTGTTAACATATTGTTGGCAAATATACGTGAAGGCGGCAGCACAGTCGCAAAGAGTTCTGTATTATGACTGAACATATTTTAAAGCAAGTAATCATCCCTCACATTAGCTTTTTGTAATTATACTGTAGTTGCTTTTACAATCTGTCTGGGTGGGGTGGGCTAGTTTAGCTCTCATCTTAAAAGCAGCCTGGTGGCTTTCACTCAGTAGCATTTTCTTAAATGATAGTTTTACCCAAACATTTATTAAATTCTCTGTTTTCAGTCTATCATGGCCGAGTTCAGAAATTTATCTGAAGGAAAGTAGTTACTTACTGCACTTTGTTACTTTGAGTACTTTGCCTAACTCCAAATGCATTTTGGTTTTTTCTTCTGTGTATAGTTTCCTATATACCTCTTTAGATAAGCTTTTAACTCATTTTATACTAGTAATTTATACAACTTGATTGGGTGGGGTGGGGATGACAGCTTAGGAAAGCAGTTTGGACCATCATTAAAACAGAATAGATTATAAACTCTATGTTGCGTACTGAAGACTTCATCTCGAGAAGTTCTAAAGCAATGGAAGAAATATCCAAAATAAGAATCAAGCACAGATTTTCTTCTGTCATCAGAGCAATTCTTCCCAGGCACTAATGCTTCAAGTCAAAGTTTTTTCTCTAAATGGTTACTAACACTAAAAGTATACAGTATGCAGCCAAGCATCTCACATTCTGCTGCCCTGATAAATAGTCTCAAGAAATTAAGAAAACAAAAAGGTTTGAAGGTATAACCCAGCAGTTTAAATAGTTTCAAAGTCTGCAGATATCAAAGCTGTATTTAAAAAATGGTCTGTAACCAACTACCTATCCAGGACTGTGAAACTGGAGTCCACAGGGGCACATTTCAGACAACTCTAGAGAAGGAGTATACAAAAACATACAGATGCACTGGGGACTAGGACCTTCTGCCTCTTCACCCCAGAGCTAGTAAAGCACTCTGTTCAGGGAATGTGTTAATTGAAGAGACTGACAAGGTAGCTCCAGAACTTCTACCTATTAACATTTTCCATGGTTCCACACTAAGCCTGAGGCAAGAAAGATCAAGGTAAGACAACCAAGTGCAGCAGCTATGAAAAGAAAAGCAAGAAAACAGATTTATCGTCTCCTTTCTCACAGGGTCACTGGAAACTGAAAAATGATGCATATATTTATTTTTCGTAACTGATGGAAGGTGTGTCAATGAGTTGCCAGATGATATCACATTGGTGTCAACAGCACACTTTTCCACATTAAAATGAGAATGCTGAGGCCAAGTAGTTGTGACAAGCTTTACTCACTCTCTTAAAGGTCATTCTTGCCTCAATAAGATGAGAAAGAGATATCCTATTTTTCATTTTTCTACTTCTTCCCCACCTCCATGAAACAGAAACACTGAGAAACACTTATCTAGCTTGAATGGTGGGAACCTGGACTCCTTATTTAAGGTTTTCTAAAGAGACAGGACAGCAAATGCAATCACATGAATTGCTCCCACTTTTAACTGAAGTTGTATGACATTAGTTGTTCTATACTAGTTAGATACACCTAATATGTACAGAATTGCAATATTTCACATTACACACATGCAGATTAAAACAAAGGGTATTGCTCAGAGTTATGATGCAAGATGAAGTAACTTCACATATTCCAATCCCTCTACAAAACACTGATGCCTTACAACACATTCCCTCCCCAGTCAACTCCCTCTAATTCTCACCTCTGGTAAAGTAGAAATGTTGTTGTTCTCCAGGTTCAGTTCATCTAGTTCACTGCATTTTGCTAAAGACTTCGGAATTGCTGACAGCCTATTGTACCTCAGGCCAAGACGACTTAGACTGGACAGATTTCCTACAGGTAGGAAACAGGTATTAATATGTCGTTAGATTAACACAGTACAAGGTTTTACTTCTGAGTCTTCTGTTGTCTCACACTCTACACTTCAAGCTTTTCATATGGTAAAATGGAGCTATCATCCCAAAACAGGAGATACACAGATTACAGTGCTTTCCAACACTGAAGTCAACAGTGTGGAAGTAGATTGTGCCTATTAAATATTCTTTTTAAGTTGTGCCTAATATGGTAAGCAAGCAATGCTTATGTCCTATTGTAGAAGTCCTTCTATCCTGACCTTTCTACTGACAAAAAACTCTTATCATTTTCCAGATGTCCCCAAAATTACTTTTTTGAAATTACAGATAGCATCACTCAATTCCATGATTCATATTACCAGAACTTGGGTATACATCTCACAGCTCAGGTCCTGGCAAAACAATTTCCCCTACAGGGAAGAAAAAAAAAAAACAACCAAAAACAAACAACAAACTTTACCATCCTCCAAAAGCAACAGCCTTTAAAAGGTGATGGGGGGGGGGGGGAGAAAAAAAAAAAAAAACACAAAGCAAAAACCCACTTCCAAGTTTTCTGAATGATACCGAAGGACAAGTCTGGAGGAAGCCCACAAAAATCTGGACAATAGTGCATGTAAAAATATTTCTGAATATTGCCAGGCCAACAGTCCCAGTTGATATGTATTTCTGTCAGGAAAAAAATTCTTGAGAAACTTGCCACTTGAAAATTTCCCATCTGAAGCTCCCTTTAGCTCCAACTTTTACCATCTAACAAATACTCAAGACCAAAATCAACTGCTTAAGAATGTCTTTGAACTATACAGTGCTAGGGCATTTAGACTCTCCTGCAGGTAGTAAGACCTTGAACTTCACTGAAAAGTCAACTGGCAAATAGTATGAAGAACAGTGCTTAGTCTTCTGGCTCATCCGTATCATTGGAAAACATATCTATGCATGTGGTTACATCGCACCAGTGGAGCTTGTGAACAGATTCACACAATCAGTCAGTTCCTTGCAAAACAGTCACTATTTTACACTCATTTTTACAACCACTCATAGCACACACATTTGTTCTGCAAATTGAAATACCAGAAAGACACATTAAAAAAGAAACATAAGATTTAATAAATGGCAGCAAGAATAACCAGAAATAATTTCAAAAGATGAAGGGAGCTTACAGTCTAACTACCCATTAAATGAAGGCTATATTAATGTCTATGCATATGTACTTATACAAAGGTTACTGGAGCACAACAAAGGAAGAAGCAAATGTAGTGTATGAAGTATGCTTGGAAGCTAAGGATGAAACAAAATAAAAAGAAATGGAGAATGAAAACTAATACAAATGCTACAACAAGATCTGCTAGACAGAGGAAAAGTCTCAACAGAGGAAGTGGCAAAATACCTCCTTTCTGAACTTGGTCAAAATATACTGTAAGAATGACCCCACATCACTGAGTAGCTGGGAAAGTAGCTAATAAAAACTGGAAATTGGGACTGTTGTACGATTCACTGTAGTTACTAAAATGGAGATTCACAAAAGCAGTGAAAGTAAACAAACAAACACACACACACCACACACACACCCCGAAAAAAACCCCAAAACCAAACAAAACAAAAACCCCCAAAATTTATATAGAACAAAAATTATCCGGGTCTTACAAATCAAGAGAGAAAAGAGGATGAATTTTCAGTGCATATGTGACCTTTAGCTAACAAGTTTAGCAACAAATTCCACTTAGTACTGTCAATAACTAAACAAAAGTTAAAACAACAGGTAGCCACCCAGAGCTGCTTAACTAGTAGCTTCTCCCGTTGGGATTTTTATTTATATTTTTTAAGTGCTTTCCTTCTGAGCAAGTATACAATCAGGTTTTGCAGAAGCAGCAAAGAAAGTCTTCCCTTAACCAAAAAAAGGCATTTAAAATCCAGGGCTATCAATATTGCTCTCCAGTGCACAAATCTTTATCTTTTGAGGTTAAATCCTACAGTGCATATACACACTAAAGAGAATAATTAAGACCTATTTTGATCCTACAATCCACTAGTATAAAGATGCACATTTGTACGTAACGTAGCTATTTCATGCTGTATTTGGTGAGATCTGGCATTGCTGGCTGTATAGGAAACTGGCCTCACTTCACATGATAGACCTCCTATTGCAAGGCACCAAGATCATTAGGGTTCGCTGTTCTAGGGATGAAAAAAGCACATCCTGACTGCATTTCTCTGAATTGTTATTTAATGCTTTACTAACAAAAAGAATTACAAACTTTGTGTAAAGTAAGATGTCAATCTACCATTCTTTTTCACTACTTAAACCTTGAGCTAGATGCTGATCTGGATTCTTCAGGCAAAGAAAACAAACGGGGAATGGCTCTAAGAGACAGCATGATGCCAACTGTTGCTTAGCAATACAATGTCGCTATGCCAATTCCCAGATTGCGAGCACAGGTTGTATGTATATGGCTCTCTTCCTACCAGCAACGTGGCATTTCAGAAAAATGAAACAAGGCAGCCATTAGAGAAAGTCAAACGGTACCGTCATTTTCCAGGAGACATTGGCTATCCTCATGGCATTATCAGAAAGGAGGCATAAACAGCAGCTCCCAGTAATTTTTTCTTATCATAAGTAGCATTTCTCAATATAACTTTATCACTGTTTCTCTACTAGTTATCCTTCCCCTCCATGGGAAAGGCATGCAAAGGCATAACAGAAGACACATCCTGCATGTACCACACTCCCTGTGACTGTTTTACACACCGCAGCACTAAATACAGTTATTCCTGAGAACAAAAGCAGCAAGATTTCAGCTGGAGCTTCATCAGTAGCACCTCTCCCACCGCACCTGGAAGGGCTGTCCTGCACTCAGCTGATGCAGGCAGTACGGGCCGCCTTCTCGTTTCAAGCCAGTATTTATTTATAGCCAATTTACTGCCATTTAGTCTTCTGTCAACAAGACCCAGATATCTTTTCATCCTCATGAGAGTTCATATTAACACCTCACTGTGAACACATCACAGTGAGAAACGCTTATCAGCTTTTATCTTCACATGCTGGACAAGCCAGATCTTAGACCTTAGTCTCCTCTTCACAAAAAAAGGATGATCCTTAGAGCTCTTCCCTCTGCTCAGCGTATTAAAACTTACCTTTTTTTGTTTCCTTTTTTGTTTGCTTTTAAAGGAATGCTCAGTACAGTGACGTTAATATTTGCCTCCATGGTCCAAAGCCCAGCTGCTGGGCAGGTGGCTAACACGCTCAGGCCTCCTCGCCGGCTCTCTGACCACCAAGTGACAAACTCCAGTTTATAACAGAAACTGTTACAAGTTGCTAAATAGGACACCTTTTGCATTACATGATCAAAAGTGATCCCATTCACAGCTCCCTGAGCTCAGGATTACCTAGCTGATACTCGTATTTGGAGCTCCTTTACAGTGCCTGCACTCATCTCCATCTTCTCCAGTTCAGCTACTGGTTTCTGAGGTGGCACCATATTAGGTACTCCGCCGACGTGCTGTCAGGTTAAGTCTAAGAAATAAAGTGAGGAAGGTAACAACTGATCACGATCAACTCAGTCAGACAGTCATCAGGATCATTTTGCGGTTGTACTTTTGGCACTGAAACCGTACCTCAGCAGTTACTCTAAAACAGCCCCTCGCAGGTAGAGTGACTCAGAAAATGCAGCACTAGATGTTCATGAACATGACAGTTTGATAACCACAACTGAAAAGCAGCCACTAGCAGGAAAAGCAACAAGCAAAACCCCTTCCAACTTGTTTTCTTAGGGAGCCCATTACAAAAAAACCTTGTAAACGCAACTGCCCCATCCATTGGTACTTCTAAAAATACAATACTAAAGCCTGACTAATCCCTAAACTTAAGCCAGGCCTAAGAAAGTCACTGAAAAATTGTTTTAGTTCAACTTTAGGCGTGAACAGTCACTCTTGGGAATCAGGTTTCACACAGCCACCTTGTGTCAGGTCCATTTTCTCACCAGAAAAGTGTACTAACACCCATCAGTGGGCTCCACTTTGCCCAGCTCTCAGGTTTGAAGCAACATTAAGTGCAGAATTCATAATCACTTCACTGGAGTGACTGCATGTCTCTCTCAGGGTTAGCTGTTTAATTTACACAGAAATGAATTAAAAATACTTGGAAGCATGCAAATGCAGAAACATTAAACTCTGTTACTATAAAAGGGACCCTAAATAGATGCTTTAAATTAAATTCTTTATTAAAGGTACCTCAAAAATAATATTAGTCAAAGAAAAAACAGGTGTTTGCCAATCCCAAAACAAAGGGAAGACTGGAAATAAAGCAGGAAACCACGCTTACAAAAACACACTTTTTAGAAAGACCACCTGAAGTGGTTCTCCAAGTAGGAGCAATACATCTCTTTCTTGAATATTTCAAAATCAAGAGAAAAAGGAACTGGTATGTTGAATAATATAAAGAAATCCAAATTCCTAATTCAAAGTCCTACCAGTGCTTTCTAAAGGGAGTAACAAATGCTCTCTTCTTTTGAGATTTACCACACCTCTTCCTTTCCCTCCCTTAGTTAAAATAATCCTTCAAATTCCCTATCCTTAGATGAAGTGTCATTACTTAGTGCAAAATGTTACTGCATCATTACTAAAAGATGGAAAAATTAGCCTGTTTTATATAACTTAGTTCATCAAACTGGTTTGCTATCGGTATCAGTTGCTTTCTCCTAAATAAACTGGAAGCATCAGATCAATTTAAAATCTGTTCACTAGAGAAAACTCTTCTGCAGATAACGTTAAAAACACAAATTGGACTTAGAAGAGCTGTGCACAGCAAAACCCTGTAAGATTGTAATCAAAAGTATACATGAACCTCAGTATGCAATAGATCGTTGCAAGAACTTGCTACAAACAACATGGCACTATGAAGTATTTCTGGTGGCCTAACTCCTGTAAATATCCTTAGATTTTGATTTAATTAAACTGCACACAACAAGTAGCCACCTATTAAAGAAC